TCACGAAACACAGACTCAAGTCCATGATGTAGTTGCTGTTATGGGCTCTAAGACGGTAAAAAGAACTAGGTCATATAACATAGATTTCTATCTTTCGCGTTATATTTGAACTGAGCTAGACTTGACACTTTTGTTGGAAACATTATTACTGGATTTGTAAAAACTCCGGCACAAACACCACGGCGTGAAGTTTGCATCAGTTGTGCAGCTTTTATAGGGGATCAAGCTCTAAAATTCGGTCGACGAGCGTTTCAAACATCTAAGACAATGAAGAACTTTTTTAGATTGTTCTGGCATTAGGTGTCGATTATGACTCAGTAGAGATTAGTGTAGGAAAAGAGCTCTATTGATGAACTTTACCAAAAAATCGGGTAGAAGACTATTTCCCACTAGGCCTCCCCCCGTGGAGAACGTTTCCATCTTCACCTCCCTTACATAATGTAAGATGCCAATCTCTCAAGCGCACGATTTTAATTGTGTTTGTCAACTTATTCTAAGTTCCTTCATTCTTATTGCGACACTCCACCCTCTAGCGGTCATAAGATTACAACTTTAGAGAATCAGTTGTCCGCGAGGGCAAGGCCACTTCAAAAAGTGGTCCTCTACCCAGATCCTGCGAATCTTAGATTGATGTACCTCCTTACGATCATCAACTTTTCAAGTAGAGATCTCGAGGTGCGCTTAGTGAGTGGAGAAGTTGTGAACTATCGGCATTGTAAAACATAATCTCAAGATTGGCTACAAGAATGGTCGATTTTCTACGCTTAACCTGTCACTAATTTATCCTACACAAACAAAAGAAGTGTGACAATGATGTTTTTGAAACTTGCTATTGAATGAATGCAAAATTTGTCTAGAGTAAGCAACCTCGTTTTGTTTTATGACAAAGAGATGTTTGAGTGGCAAAAACCATCACTTTGCTTTGTATGTTAAAGTCAGTCAATCTCTCCTTTAGTTTAACTTAGGCTTTGTTAAGGCAGAAGTGCCTATCTTCTCCTCTTGTCTTTTTGTGCTATTATTTACAATAAGGCACCTTGATAACTGGGAATACTTGATTCCGGTTTAAATATGCGTCAAAGTTCCTATTTTCAGGTTGTCGAAAAAATGAAAAATAATGCTAAGTTTAAAAAAAGGGGAACCTAGGAGTTATTCATATAATTTGTCGTCAAAGGAAGGCGCACACAATCTTACCCTTTGTGCAACATCAACCTCATCTTGCTTCACATCCACTTGCTTGAGACGTCGAGCTTTTTCGAGAACAGTCGCAAGCTCTGCTTCTGCATCATCATCAATCACTACTCCAGCAAGTTCCGAGCCGCCTTCGAACTCCTCTGAAAAGAGTTTCGCAATGAGAACCACTGCTCCATTTTTGTACCATAATTTGAAGATGAATCATATTTTGGTTTTCATAAAATGGACGAACTGTTTTAATGTTTGAAATAAGCAATCTTTAAATCCGCGAATGAAAATGAATCAACTAATAATGTGGATAGTTATTTTCAAATTGTTTCAGTTTCTGCAGATGTTATTAAGAACAACTATATATGCTTCCCCAAATAATACAACTATAAGCGGTCCGGAAACTATTGCTAGGCATTTCATGTAAAAATAGCACAGTGACAACATAGCATAGCTACGGCAAACTTATTTTACGAACAAATTACTTGAAAGAAAACCACTACTCCAGCTGCAGAACATCCCTTTGTTGATATATGCAAATGCTTTGAAATCAAAATAAAGGGATTACCTTCACTCGATTCACTACCATGATCGATATCCACAACGCTTTTTAGCATATCGATATTAACTGCATTTTTTGTTGCTTTTTTCCAAAGTCCAGACTGTACTTCCGACTCAGCCTCATCCATGTTTGCCTGAAAAAGACCATTCATACAGTGACTGTGGATAGATGAATAGAATTCGAGCGTACGTCAAACTGCGCAATGTCCTGCTCTCCAGCTTTGCCTTCTGCTTCCTCCTCGCTTTCCTTCTTTACCTCTTGCCTTCTGCCATGATTTCTGTATGAATGCCAAGAATTGTTACTATTAAACATAACTACTAAGTAATTAGATATACCTTGAACGCGAACTGCGCTCTTCAGCTGGCTCATCAGGCACTAAATCTTCCGCTTTTAACATTTTTCTTTTACGTGTCGATTTCTTTCCTTTTTTGACTTTGCGAAACGCAGTCATTTCATCCTAAAGGTTATAGTACGTTTACCTTCATAAAACTGCATTAAAGAGTGAAGTGTAAAATGCAAGATGATACCCACGGCATAAATCAAAGAAGGAGTCCGTTGACGAAATAACAGTAATCTAACAATGAGCAAAAAACTAAATCTTCCATATTTTGGTGTTAACAACTGTTTAATTAATAAGAAAGAAAGGTAACGGAGGACAGAGGAGGAACAGTCGTAGATGAAAAAAATATCTCTGCTTTGATAAACGAGGTATAAAATTGTATGAAATAGCAGCAACTCTAATAGAGGAATGTATTTAGCTTAAGAAGTGAAAAGTAGAATGTTTGATAGCATAGTAAAAGTTGCCGACAAATGGTAGAACAAAAGAGAGTTGTAATCTAGCGTCAATGTCTGAACATTTCACCTTTGTGTAGAACTCGCTACCAATTTGATACTTTGGCATATCCAGGCTCACCAGCATTTTACCAGCCAATTCTAATTCTTTCCTCATTCTTTCCTCTCTAAAATCAAAAATGAGGTTTGAAAGAGAAAGTTATCCAAACCCAAGCGTGATGAAATTATTACCTCTCATCCTTCTCCAAATCGTAACCGCCACACTCATCTAAACGAAACTTCTCTTTTTGCACACCATCGAGCTCTTCGTCGTACTTAGTCAAAACACCGTAAGATTTTTGCTGAAAGGATTATTTACCTACTTGTGTAGTGATATCTAAAATAACAAAGCTATCCAGATTCTATGAAAAGAAGATGTGCAGCTTATGAGATATGATTAGCACCACATACATTTCCGAGTTCGTCCACGTCATCAAACCCTTTCATTAACTCTTTTCGCTTTTTAATTTCGACGTTTCGAGCATATCTCTCATTTTCAACAAGATTCGGGTCAATCAGAACTTCCTCTCCTTCATCAAGAACGCCTAAATGTTAGGTAAACCTCTCCTTTGAGACAATGATAGTCGATAAGAGCTTCAAGGAAGCATATATATATATATATATATATATATATATA